TTGCACCGAAAGCTAGAGAGAGAGAGACGAGAATGTTTTAGAGAGAGAAAATGAGAAATAGTTTGTTATTCGTCTTGCCTGGTATATAGCGAATTGTTAGTTGTAATAGCTTAATTACATCTATGACCCTATTTTTTCGCATTGTGTATGCGGACAGTAGGGTTTGTAATGGAAAAACAAGGAAATAACGTTTAATTTTCAAACATGAATGCCACTGGTGTCTTTTTTTTTTTTGTTTAACAATATTAGGAAAAAAAAAAATTTCTGAAGAAAAAATATTGTGTTTTTGGAGTTAGTGTCTACGGCTATCATTAAAAGGAAAAAAAATCCTTCATTTAGCTTTTTGAAGTTGTATTCTTTCTTCAAACTTTACTCACAAACTGACGTTTAGAAAAATGTTTTGTTTTTGGAATTAGTGTCTACGGCTATCATTAAAAGAAGGAAAAAAAAAGATCCTTCATTTAGCTTTTTGAAGTTGTATTCTTTCTTCAAGCTTTACTAACAAATCGACGTTTAGAAAAATGTAATGAATTGAAGTCAACAAAGTTTTATCTAAGAGGTCGTTAGACAGAAAGCTCACACATAAATCTGGTTGGTCGTTCCACCATTCAATCGATTGTATATTGATTGTATGTGTGGCAAGAGCATTGATCCTCTATACGACGCTCAGAAATTAATGTGAGATTTATGTTGAAGACAATTTATCCATCTTGATTCCAACTTCTCATCTTTCCACTGGATTCCAACACTAACCACGTCATAGAATCACTTTCCAGCCACACGTCTTCATTGCCCTTTTATCATGTGAACTATAACGAGTACATCATTGCATTTAACTTTGACTCAAAAAGCCCATCGGCATACCAAGGGAGCTATAAAACAACCCGCAACAAAAACCCCTAGCATTTTGAAAGATTTCCCCACAACTAGTCGTGCATGTCTCGTGTGTAGTTCTATTCGTGTTCACCATGATCCATCCCAGCAATGGAGCCAGGGACGGACGCAAAAAATTCAAAGTTAGAGGGCACAATCGAATTTACAAAAAAGTTGGGTTATAATCGAAAATTTTCGTCCAAAAAAATTATACCCTATATAATTTTGTATCCGAAAATTTACATGGGATATAAAATTTCGAAAATTTTTG